GTACAATGTTTAATAAAAAAACAAATTAAAGGTAAAGATTCACTCTTTCGACTGCTATAAACCATATTTTCGTGTAATTTTTACCTCACGCCATAGACCTTTGTAAAGTTTGTAAAAAATTTTTAGATTTGACGGATATCCATTTGTGTCCGTATAACTCCATAAAGTATCAGTCATATTGAAATTTTAATTATAGATTTCGAAAGTAGAGATTTCAACCTTTACAATCCTTTTTTAATTTTTTGTCTGCGATGATTTTTCATTGAATTATGGTGTTCTGAATATTGCTCAATTTTTAGCGTGTTTGAAAGTGTTCCCTAGATTTTGTTGAGTAGTGTATATAAGTGTTCCCTGTTTTTTTCAGGTGGCCAAATGGCTACATGCGTTCCAGCAATCGCACCTATGACACCCGGAAAATTTGTGTGAATCAAATACCTGGTAAAATACGATTGCATTTTAATTTTACACATAGCAAAAATTATAGTATATTTATTATAAGTTTTAAATGCACTTACATTAAAATTGATATACTTTTAAGATAATTATGAAATTGTATTTTTTAATTATAACTTACGTTTGCTGAATAGTTTGAATCTCATCATGTTCTGTAGGGAATGTTATCCATTGTGGCATTATAGCATTTAATGCATGTATAATTTGAGGTATTGCTCCACTAATGGATGATTGACACATACAACTTAGGAAGTCCTGCCCAATTCTCCTCTGATAGGAACCTGAGCTTAAAAAGCTTAAAGTTGCTAAAAGCTTTAAAATAACAAAAAAAATTAATTTAAATATAACTATTTTAAAATATCAATACTATAATAAATAATGAAAGCTGGTTTTACATTAGACACAAGCTAATTGCAAACTTGCTACAACAGCAATCTGAAGCGTTCATTTCAAAATGCTTCAGATTGGCTGGTGCAATAATTTTGTGATCAACCTGCATCCAATGTAAAACCAACATAAGGAAATCTAAAATTTTAATTCATAATAGTATTTCTTTATATGCAATTTTACCTTCAGTTCTAATGGAATTGCTGTTAATCGTACTGCTACTTGCATATGAGGCTGTATAGAATCGCGTAATGCTAATGTAGCATCTTTTGTTAACCTGTGTATTTAATATCTTGTTTAAATTGTTCCATAAACATTTAAATAATATACAAACCATCAATATATTCTGTTTTCCGTTACTTATTTATATTGAATAATATTATAAAAGAGCCGGGGCATAAACCTTTGCATAATGTATAATTTATAAACAGAGATTCATCCAATTACAATCTTTTTTTTCTATAAAATAAAGGACTGATTAATTATCTTATGCATTATGCATGCTTTATGCATTATGCAATGGTCTACGTTCCGGCTTTATTTATTAAAGTATAATTTTACTTACCGATATAAATGAATAAATTGCGATTCTAAAATTTCAAATGGATTACTTGCATCATGTAATTGTCTTCTTCGAATTTTCAGCATATTTCTTTCTTCTTCTTCTGCAAGTTGCAGCAATCACCAAGCTGCAGCCATGTTATGCCAATATATGCTAAATTAAAAATCCATAAAAGGCTTTTATTATGTATAAGAATAAAGCAAGGAGCACAGACTCTTGCATAACACATAACACATAATACATAAGAAAATGAACCAATCGAAGTCTTTAATTTCCTTCTTTTCCATGAAATAAAGGACACTGGTTGATTTTCTTATGACTCATGTTTTATGCGTTATGCGAGAGCCTGTGCTTCCCGTCTAAGAGTGGAACAAATCAAATCCAAGCCGAAATAATATGATGCATCATTATTCTTGTTCATCGAATGTTAAAGATAAATGATGCACTATGCACATCACATGAAATTCATTTCCAGTCATTTAATATGTATACAAATAAGTAATATTATTCAAATTCTAATAATTATGCATGTAAACATAATGTATTGTACAAAATAAATATACTATGTATTTACATATATTTTTATTTTTCTTGAGATTTAATTGTTAGACTGCATCGAATAAATTCACTCTACAATATAAGTCTCAAGAAGAAAATATATGTAAATAAAGACTTGTTTAATTTTTACAATATATTATGTTTAGAAACACAATTACCGAAAATTAGATAATATTGTATTTGGGTAATTATGAAGGAGACGGTCGACCTCATCGATTTTAATATTAGGCTCGATTTTAATATTCGACGCGTTTTTGCACGAAATCAACGAATCTGGCAGAAAAAAGTGTCGCTCTGCCTCGCGAGCAGAGATATTAAGCGTTAAAATTGACGACTATTGAGGTTAGGAAATCTGTCATAGCGCTACATGTAGTTGGTAAAATTTGATATGGGTTTTATTATTTTTCAATATCAAATGCTTGCTCACTTATTAAAATAATTCATATAATACACACATATATGTATATAAGACGATATAGGTATTCTTCTTCTTCTTCTTATTTGTCCTTGTTTGGTTTTCCAACTCAACGATGAAGGTATTATTGGATCACTGCATCATAATTCCCCATATTTCCACCATTCCGCTCACCTATTTCATGGTTAAAAAGTTCACGCGAAAACTTTCACGTTTCCGTAGTTTGAAAGTTACATGATCGCTCAGTTCACGTGAAAGTTTTCACTTTTCACGATTCCGCCCTAGGGAAAAGTTACATGATCGCTACCCTGTTACGGTTTTTCGGTGAATTTAGTCACTTTTCACATTTTCATTTCACGTAACTTTGGTCACCCAATTACGGAACTGTCGAGTGAAAATGTGAAATAACTAGGCACTTCCGATATAGTAATCTCACATTTTCACGAAACCAAATCAAACCTCTCGTCTCGAGTATTGCATCATTTTGCATAAAGTTTATTATTATAATTAGTTAGGAGAGATGAATGTTACAGAAAAACAAAAAAGAATTTTATTAAATTACATGAATGTGAATGAAGATTTTGCACGAGGCCGCTTGCGACATAATAGCGGCAATAAAAAAGTATTAGTAAGTACTACACATTATCTGTCAATATATGTTAAAATATAAGATTTTATTAGCAATGTGATAGTATTCCATTTTTAGTAGATAAATGTATAGGGGAAAGTGGGCGAATTGTGCGCAGCGGGTAATTGTGCGCATCCTGGTTTGGTATTTTGCCGATAAATGGAGACATCGCCGTGATGAAATTTTTACGCAGGAGGTTGTCCTCTTAAGTTATAACCACAAAAGATATGACGTAAGTACATTGATAAACAATGAAAGATAAAAAAATGAAAACATACATTTTCTTGTTATTTCAGCGTTCAGAAAATAAGGTGGTAAGTCCGTATTTTTAATTTGTTGGTTTAAAGTTGCATACGTTATTAAAGTGCGTTATTATGTGCGTTTTTCGACCCGTTATTTATTAAGTTTGGTTAACTATTGAAGTAATCGTATTGAAGTAATCGTATTTCATATAGAGTCAGATCGTGGCGGGTAACTGTGCGCAGGCGGTTTGAAATGCGCACAATTATCCATCTTCAATAGACTATATACGAGTACCCATTTTCCAGTATTAGAGGTTAATTTTTTATTTTTACTAAAGTTTATATGCATTAGTATTACCTAGCAGAGGTTAATTTTGTATTTTTGTTAAAGTCTATGTGCATTAATATTATTAGAGGTTAGTTTTATATTTTTGCTAAATATATATAATA